GCTGGTTTATCAGCTGACAAGTTAGGTAATATCAAAGATCAAAATACCCACTAAATATAGACAACACCAAAAAGCCACACTGTGCTGACTAGTTTTATGCCAACTTAACACTAGAGGGTCATTAGAGAGGAAGAAGCTTCAATTGAGGAAATGCCTCCATAAGATAGGCAAGCCTATAAAGTATTTTCTTAATTAGTGGTTGATGTGATAGGGCTCAGCCCATTGTGGGTGGTGCCATCCTTGGGCTGGTGGTCCTAGGCTCAACAAGAAAGTAGGCTGAGCATAAGAGCAAGACAGTAAGTAGCACTTCATAGCCTCTGCATCAGTTCCTCCTTCCAGGTTCCTGCCCTGAATGACATCCTGCCTTGTCTTCCTTCAGTGATGGACTATGATGTTGAAGTGTAAGCCAAATAAACCCTTTGTTCCCCAAGCAGCTTTTGCTCATGGTGTTTCATCTCAGCAATTATAATCCTAACTAAGATGTATACCATTAAATACCAATGACAACCTAATTCCAGTTCCATCACAATAATCAATACAATATGTTTCCTCCTGAAATTACACCCCATCATAATGTTCCTGGAAAATAACAACATAGCTTGTGCTCAAGACAAAGATTTCTGAAGAATGACTATAGAGAAATTCAAGGAAGTTAAAGAAATAAGTGAATGAGAATTGAAAATTTTTAACATTTGAATGAAATATTGGAAACAATTCAATATAGAATTCAATAAACAGAATCTCTGAAGAAAAGTTAAACCGAAATAAAACTTAAAGAACTCAGGAAGTCAAACAAAACTCAGAGGAAAGCCACACTCAATCAACTAGATGAAGTAGAAGAGTGAAAATCTATGTCTAACATAAGATAGAGGAATTTAATCACATATTAAATCAAAAAATGTACAATGAGGAACCAAAAATACAATGACTCTGAACAACAACAATAAAAGATATTGAAAATGAGCAGAAAGAATGACCAAGTTACGTCTAAAGACTAGTCCATCAGACATCTGACTTCTCAATAGAGGCTGTGGAAGCCTTAAGGGTCTTTCTACAGGGTTTGAAAGACCAAAGGTAACAGGAAAACTGTCAGCCATAATTAGAGAATAGGGAAACTTCTATGATGAATGGATTTAAGGAATTTATGTCCATTAAGCCAGCTCCATTGAGGGTACTGAAAGGAATACTCCTGTCTGAAGAGATTAAATGCACCCAAAAGGGAACAAGAAAAAAAATCAAATAATTCCAGATCAGTTCATCAAAAGGGGTCTATCAACTCTGCCATGACAGTGTAACAGGAATTAATGAAAATTGTTTAACAATGACTCCCAATATTAATGGTCTCAGTTCCTCAATAAGAAGACACAGACTAGTAGATTAGATTAGAAAACAGGATCCATTTTCTTGATGTGAAACATACCTCACCATTAAGCACAAATATCACTTTAGGCAAAAAGGATTTTTAAAAGTATTCCAAGCAAATAGAATAAAATAAAGAAACAAGCAATATGACCTAATATATGACAAAATAGATATTTAATCTAAAACTCAATAAGGAGACAGGGAAGGATATTCATAATCAATAAATGCAAACCTACCAAAGGGATGTTACAGTTCTCAACAGTTATGAACCAAGCACAGTGGTACCTACTTTACTGAAAGAAACAATGGATCTAAAAGCCGCTATTCAAACCAGCACAGTGATAAGTGAATGACTTCAAGACGCCACTTTCACCTGTCTCATTGAGTCAATGGATTCCCCAGACAAAAATAAACTTTTGAGTTAAATTGTATCACAAATTAAATGGATCTAACAGACATTTGTAGACAATTTCACCAAAACACTAAATACACATTTTCTCAGAAGTTGATGAAAATTTCTCTAAAATCAACCATGCATTATAGTATAAATCCAGTATTAATTCTTTAAAACAAATTGAAATAACATTCTAAATTCTATTTGACCACAAATGAATAAAGCTGGTTGTCAACAATAGAAATTTTAGTAACTAGACAGACCCATGGAAATTAAACAACAAAATACTGAATGAAAATTGTGTCAGGAAGAAATTTAAAAGCAAAAATTTAATTCCTAGAAATGGATGAAAATAAAATACACTAAAACCCATGGGATGCAATAAAGGCATTCCTAAGAGGACAGTTTCTAGATCTCTGTGTCTACAAAAATAAAAAACCCAAGTGATCTCATATTAACAACTTAATGATGCATCTGAACGCTGAAGATATTTGTTTATTCTATGTGAAGATGTGTCACTTTGATTGGTTTAATGAAAGGCTGAATAAGTAATAGCTTAGCAATAGAGAATAGATAGGACTTCCAGGTAAAGAGAGGAACTCTGGATGGATATAGGTATGTGAGAGACACCAGCAAGATACTGAAGAAGCCAGACATATGGTACAGAGGAGAGGTAACAGAGCCATGGAGCATGATGTGAATTAATAGAAACAAGTCAATTTGAATGATAAGAGCTAGTTAGGAAAAAGCTTAAGGGAAGGGCAAGCTTTCATAATAAGTCTCCACGTCATTATTTGTGAGCTCAGCAGCCCAAAGCAAAGTCTGAATACTCATGAAGCCTTTGGAGAAAACAAGAACAAAACTCCAAAGCAGCAGACCCAAGGAGATAATCATAATCAGAGCTGAAATCAGTGAAAAAAAAAACAATTCAATCAATAAAATGAAGAGTTGATTTTTTGAAAAGACTAATAAGATTGGCAAATCTTTAGCTTAATTTATCACAAAAAGGGAGAATCAAAATTAATAAAATCAGTTATTAAAATTGAAGGATTAGAATACTCTATTAAACTGAAACATCAAAATGATTGATTTTATTTATATAAGACCTCTCAAAATGAACTGAAGATGAGTAAATAATTTAAATAGATCCACATCCAGAAATAGGAACAGCAATTAAAAATCTCACAATTTACAAAAACCACAGGATTCTACAAGAACTAACATTAATTTTCAAATTATTTTGTAAAATAGAAGAGAAGAAATACTTCAAAATTTTTTTGTGCAGTCACTACTACCACAATATCAAAACTAAACAAAGATTCAACAACCAAAAAGAAAATTGTAAGTCAATCTCTGCTTAACATAGATGGAAAATAAAATAAATAAAATATTTGCAGACCAAACTCAAGATTACATTAGAAAGATATCCAACATGATCAATGCAGCCTCATCTCGGAAATGTAGGAGTAGTTCACCATACACGAATCAGTAAATGTAGTTGACCACATCAACAAACTTAAGATCATTTCACTGGAAAAACAAAATTAAAAATCCCTTCATCTAGGAATCTAGGAATATGGAGGACATATCTCAATAAATCTAATGTAACACGCAGCAAGTTCACAACCAACATCATGCTAATCAAAGAAAACTCAATGAATTTCCACTAAAATCAGGAATAAGAATACCATGCAGTCTCTTCATTTCTATTCAATATAATATATTCTGTCTAGGTTTAAAGGCTGCACGAGTGGAAATTCTTGGAAGATTCCTGACTGGCTGGGAGCAGTAAGGGAAACAAAATGACCACTGCAAATATTTTAGCTTGAGTTTATAATCAAGCCGATGTAAAGGCTGGTTGAAAGAGAGTTGCTGTCAATGGTGACAGCATTACCCACTAATGATGACTATGGAGCCGGCCACAACCTCAGCAACTCTGTTGAACTGCTCACCTGCCTATGGTCCAAAGAGGAGGCAGTGTTGACACCTGTCAGACCTAGGCCACGTGAGAAATTTGGGAAGGGGTGAACCTTGATGTAACTATTCTTATGAGCAATCCCATGCCACCAGACCAGTCTGTCAGTTTCTACCTGGGGTTCTGAAGTGACTCTCACAGCAGTCTTACAGGTCCAGTTCTTGGCCATGTGGTTACCAATTAGGAGAGAAATTAGCTTGTAATAGCTCCCGCTGGTTACCTCTCACAGAAACAGCGGGAGCTCTCTGACTGGCAGCTAGCATGAAGCTACAGCATGAGGAAGGCTAACTGCTTACTTGAGTGGTTTTGAGAGGTAAAGGTATATTTATTTCTGTCTGCATGAGGAAGCAGAACATCAGCAGTAGGTGTGATTGAGGAATTGTTTTAGATAGGGACAAGGGAATTTAATTCCCATAAAGTATTAAAGCAATTCCTGAATAATTCCCCAAGAAATCAAGAAAATGAAAATGTGTTTTGCCAGCAGTGCAGACTTCAGTACATTGTGGCCCTCTGTGTTTTATTTCTGTTTAGTATGAACTTTGGGTTTCTTGCTTCCTTTAGACCTCAAGTTTCCTCTAACAACTTGGAGGTGCTTTGCCTCCGTTTTCCAGTCAATAATGGGTATTTTAATATTTTTTAGAAACCCAATGGTAGCTTTCTTAAGGTAATACATGCAAGTATGCTTCTCAGGACAACGGAGCAATCAATATTCCTATGCAAAATATCAATAGTAAGTCATGACTTATTTTTTCACAACACACACACACACACACACACACACACACACACACAGAGAGAGAGAGAGAGAGAGAGAGAGAGAGAGAGAGAGAGTCATTTAATGTTATAGGGATTGCACTTAGCCCTGAGGATATCCCTAGTCAGCTGAAATACAGAATAAAAGTTTAATAAATGTGAGTTGGCAAATGATCACCCTTTTTTTTTTTTTTTTTTTTTTTTTTTTTTTTTTTTTGCTAATAATGTGCCCGAGGCTGGGAAATTTATCAAGAGATTTATTTAGGTGACAGTTGCGGAGGATGAAAGCTCAAGATTAAGTAACCAACCACACAGTTGCTAGCCTCTGGTGGGCCCTCTAGCTGTGTCATAGCATGGTAGATGGTGGGAGTGCTTTTAGCACGCAGGAGCCAGACTCAAGGTTCAGGTTTTCTTGGCTGTTGTTCTGGAAAAGGTTAGTTGTTGCTTTCTTATTTTATTTCTTTTCTTAATTTATTCACTTTATAGAGGGATTTCTCCATGGTTGGCTTAGGCACCAATTAGTTGAATCTACTCCTCATTGATAACACAGGAAAGATTCCAGAATCGCATTCCAGGTGCCAAGAGATCCGGCTCAACGCCACAGTGAAGAAAGCCTTCCCTTGCATCCTACTGAATGGAGCAGTGCACCGTGGAATCTCTGAAGCGGGACCGCGAGCGGATTCGCGTCTTGGGTTGATAATGCTCCAAGAATAGCAGCTGTTTGGTGTTGAAAGCGCCCCTTCGTTTCTGTCGGATGAACTGAACTGCAGCTTCGTTCTTCATTCCACATTCGATCAAAGCAAGTGCCACCAGTACTGGAGCCCTCCCTAATCCTGCCACACAGTGCACTGCCACACAGGAACCCGGCTCCTCACGGAATTTGTTTTTTAACAGATTCAGCCAATCATCCACTACGTTATCAGGGGGTGGGGCTCCGTCATTGTAGGGCAAGTCTAGAACTTGGATGCCATGATTTTCAACTAGAGCTTTGTCATAAGTGGCATCACAAACTCTGACCAAGGTTGTCACCCCATAGTTCTTAAGTTCCTCTGTGAACTTTTGCATCGTCGCGTTGGTGGGGCTGTGAGTTATCAGGAAACGCATGTTGTCATAGCAGATCTCCACCGGGGCTGCATGATTCATTGTGGCAAATGGGAGTGGGCCTGTGAGTGTGTTGGGCAAGCGAAAACATTAAGATCACCAAAAGGTCAATTATCGTTCTTTATTTTCTTTATTCAGCTTATCTACTCTGTAGGAAGCTTCTCCAAGGCAGGCAGAAGTATTTAAAATTCATTCGAATTCAGTCTGGGCCTCAGGTTCTGCAGATGTAAACCTTCAAACTTCAGAAACATCCAGCTACATATCGAACTCATCTACCAAGCCTACATTCAGACAGTAGTTAGACAGCAGCGGGGATGGTCTTCCACCTTTGTTTACCAGATTTTACTAAAGTCATTAAAGGAAATATACTTGCAGTTAATTTTGAGGACAGTATCGGTGTCCAGAGTCTTCAAGGCGCAGATGAAGTCGGCATATAAGAGTCCCCAAGATCACTTGTCAGGGAAATTGCTGTGCTGAGCCTGGCAGAAATTGACTCTCAAATTCGGAATCGCCATAAATGTGCAGTGTGTTTTCCACCAAAGTCCTGCGGTGACAGATGAACTGAAATCTTCGTACCAGTCTATGCCCTATACACCCTGCCAGGCCCGCTGGCGGCACGAGACCCTGCGACCATCTTGCCTCCCAGGCTGCCACCGCGTCTCTGCCAGTACCACGTGGATGCCGGGAGGGCCTCTCCTTTCTCTGAGCTGGACAAAGCCCCTACCCCAGGGGCTAGCCATGGACACTGCACTCTAGCCAATCGGGCCACTGACACCCAACTCTTGAATTTATTTATTATGGCTTGCTTACAAAACAATGAGTTTCATTATGACGTCTTCATACACATATCACATATTTACTCAGCGGCTGCCTGCTCTATTTTGCCCCTTTCCCACCCTCTCCTTTCTCCACAGCCTCTCCTTTCTCTCAATTAGTCCTTCCAATTTCATGTCCTACAGTTACAATCTGAAATACGTATATTTAAATCTGTATGATGGAAAATTGGATACTTATCTGTTTAATCTGGCTTCTTTTGTTCACTATGATCCCTAGTTCCAGCTTATATTTCTGTAAGTTAGACGTCATCTTTACAAATCACTGAATATGTAATATATATATATATATATATATATATATATTACATACATACATATACACACATGCATATTCTGGGTACTGTGGGCACCCAGCAACTCTTCATTGTGGCTGTGTGCAAGCAGTGGATAGGAGCACCTCCTTTGACATCCTGACCAGCATGCCTTTTATCTTCTTGCAGCTAATCTTCTCACTGGGTTATGTGGCCACAGAGAGTTTTTTCCACAGCACTGCTTAGAAAGCTAATAAAGCCAGTTTTTGTTTGTTTGTTTGTTTCATCTATGTATTGGCCATTAGTATTTCAGGCAAAGTCCCTTAGTCTGTGAACAGATGTTTTGGGAGTTTGGGTGTTTAGGTTTCAGAGTTTTTTATCGGACATCTGCCCCTGTCAGGGGAATGTTGGAAAGGATTTCCCCTGCTCTTCTATCTCCTTTGCTGTGCAGAATCTTTTGCATTTCATGTGATCCCATTTGTCACATTTTCCAATCATTTCCTCACCTATTGGATTCATTTTCTGAAATTATTCACCTAATCCTGTGTCTTGGACATATTTCTCCTATTTCCCTCTAGCAGTTTCAAAGTTTCAGGTCCTACATAAAGTCTCAAATGTTGTGAATGTTTTGTCCAGATCACTCTTCTTTATATGGATGTCTAATTTTCCCAGAATGATGTCTTGAAGAGGCGATCATTTCTCCCAGGGGCTATAGCTATGTGGATTTATTTCTGTGTACTTTATGCTATTTCTCAAGTCAATTCATTTTCTCACTATGGCATAACTTGAAATTTCTGGTTGTATACTAATAGCATTGCTCATTCCACTAAGAATTGTTTGAGATATTAAGGACTTTTGTATTTCTGTATGAATTTTGTTTCTTTTTTTTTCTACTTCTGTGAAATTTTGATGAATACTGTATTAAATCTGTAAGACTTTTCACTATTTCATCAATTTTATAGTATTAATTTTGCCAATCCATGAATATAGGAGTTCTTTCCATCTTTAGATATTGTATTCAATTTCTTTCTTTAGTCTCTTGAAAGTTTTTCTTGTAGAAAACTTTTACCTCCTTTGGGAGATTTATTACTGATTTTTAAAAGAACTACTATAAATAGGATTTTCCTCTTCTTTTACAAGTTCACAATTATAAGTGTACTGAGTTTAGATATTAATTTTGTGGGGTTTTTTGTAGGTCTAAGAATTTTCTTGTAGAATATTTAGAGTCATTTAAATGTAGGATCATGCCATAGGCAAATAGACATAGTTCAACTTCTTTTCCTACTTAAAGAAAATTATCTTGATTATTGCTCTAGCTAACACTTGAATCACTATATTGAGTAAGGACAAAAATAGTTAATTCCTTTGTCTCATTCCTCATTTTAGAGAAAATGCTTTCCTCCATTTATCTTAATGTGATTCTACATTTGTCTCATAAAGCCTTTCATTAAGTGGTAGTATGTTTATTCTATTGCCAGCATCTTCAGGACTTTTATCATGAAAGGGTATTGAAGTTGACCATGTGACTTCTATCATCAAGTCTATTTCTATCCTAGAATTACACCTGATGATATGCATGTTTAAGTTTATGTTTACATCCCATGAATGAAAATGTAAAGTCAGTTTTTAATACAAATTTTAAAATGCATACATGAACTCAATGAATTTTGATTACCAGGACCATCTGACTCGTCTCCCAACTCCTCCTAGATCTAACCCCAACTTCCCCACTCCCTCCAAATTCATGTGCAATTCATTTTGTCACTTACCAAGTCAAACTTAGGCTACCTTTATGGGTGATGAGTATGGGACCATTCACCAAGCTTAATTAACCTACCAAGGGAGACATCCTTAGAGAACAGGGAGCCTCTTTTTCTCAGAAGCTACCAACTGTAAAGAGATCCTCAGTTAGGGGTTTGAACTCCTAAGTCCTTCCCCACTCCATGCTAGAATGTTCACTGGTGGATCTTGTACAGAAAAGCACAGCTACTGTTTGTTTGTGTGTCCTGTCACATCCAGAAGACACTGTTTTGCTTGGGCCCTTCCTGACCCTCTTGCAAAATGGAGCCTGAGCCTTGGAGTGAAGGGAATACACAGATGTCTCATTTTTGGTGACAACTCCACAGACACGTATTTTCTACACGTGGACTAGTTGTGAGTTTCTGAGCTAACTGTATCTTCCGAACAGAGAAACTTGTCTGATAAGGTTTCCTGAGATGTATTTATCTTTCTCCTCATAATAAAGTGGTCCTTCTGGTGCCCTTTGAAGGGATGGCTTAGGAGTCATGATTTTTTAGCCTGCTTTTATCATGGGAAGCTTTTCTTCTATGGTCAGTTATGACTGAGAGTCTTACAGAATATATTAGACTAACTCGGGAGCTGTGCTCTCTCAGAATTTAAAGGACCAAGCCCAAGCCCTTTTTCCTTTCATAGTTTGAAAAGTTATCAGTTATTCTGATGGGACTTCCTTTGGGTGTGAGTAGGTGCTTTTAATTAGCAGCTTTCAATGTAATGTCTTTGTTTTGATTAGTATGTCATGGAGAATTTCTTTCCTGGCCTTTGCAGTTTGGTGGTCTGTGTGCCTCTGCCATCTGGATGAGCTTCTCTTTCCCTAGATTTATGAAATTTTCTAATGTTTTATTAAAATGCTTTTTTTCATTTGGTATGAAATTGTTTTTCCTCTATTCTAATAACATATTATCAATTGTTTAGTTCTTCCAAACTGATGTATTTATGCACAGTCACCTTTTCACCAAAGTTGCACTGACGTTGTTAAGCTTCCTCTACAATACCTTACATCTTATTTTGAAGGGTATCCTCAAAAGGATTGGAAAACGGGAGAAATCTAATTTAATTCTTCTTGTGAGTATTGGAGAAAATGGCCTCCATGATATTTTAGTTCAATACCAATATTGTTTGACCTGAAACATTGAATGTGATCAACAATTGCTTACAAGGAACAAAGTCATAGAGAGACCATTTCTTACTATTCTGCTGAATGAGCATGTGGCAAAACATTAACACCTGGGCAAATAAAAGAAATTGTCTGCTTTCCTTTATCTAAAGACAAACTCAAGCACATACATCAACCATCCCTACCAGGAAAGATATGCTGTACTTATTCCTGATAAGATGTATAGTTGGTAGCACCAATAATTATAACAAAATATTTCCTATGTTTTAGCACCAACTGAAGAGTTAATATCATTGAGTCCAAAGAAAACTCCAATTACCCAAACTCCAAAAGGCAGTCCAAATTTTTAATAATGGGCTCACCCTGGACTTTAGGAGGATTTCCCAGTGGTTAGATAAAAGCCAGAATTCCTTCAGAACTTGTGGAACTAGTTCCCCTTTACCAAAAGAAGGCATTCCCTTTACCTCTGACAGAGGGATGCATGGATACCATTGGTGTCTATTAGTGTATTAAAGATCATCTTGTCCTCCAGTCTCCTTCAGTATGGCAAATACCTGCTACACATTTCGAAGTCCATCATAGCCCTTCCTCCTACCCTACCCCAAACTCCCCCCAGGACTATAAAGAGTATGAGTGGGGTCCAGCCATTCATTGTCTCTATAGTCCTGTTAATACCAATATGTTCTCTCTGTCTCTCTGCTCTACTTATGCTTCCCTCACTGTGTTTCCTCTGTTCTCCATCTCTACTATTTTTCCCTCTCTCACAGAAAGCCCCGTCTAGGTCCACTCTGCTGGGCCATGTTCCATCTACTCATTTCTCTCTCTGCTCTGTGCTCTTCCAAATGTCTCTGGCTATTCTCCATCTCCTATCTTCAATGAAAACCCTACCACTTAACCACACCACAGAGAAGTCATATTGTCAGTTTATACAAATATAGCTTAATATAATTATTTATATTATTTGCTCCCCTAAATCAGTGTTGTACTACCAGAAATTTGTTTTTACTAGTAAGCATGTAGCCTAGGGTCAAGAGTGGATATATGCAAATAAGTTAAGCCACTTAATTACACCCATGCCACTCATTCTCTAGGCAATTTTAC